CTGTCGCCTCTCCAGGCTCCTCGAACCAATCATAGCTCTCGTGTGTAGCACCGCCCACTGACACCAGGAATAGGTTCCAGTGGGGCGAGAAGTTGGGCACGTCTGGATTCACGTCTAAGCTGAGTTGAATTGAGGGAGCAGACCGCAGCACTGGCAGGGAACAAAGGTGGCGCGTCATTCTGCTCCGCCACAGTTTCCTGTAGTGGCACGGTGTGGTGATCACACAGCGTATCATTCGGCACATTCCCGCAGTCAGCTTTTCGTACTCGAGGTTGCGAAGCATCGCTTCTTCATGTTGGTAGTAGCGTACCGCACGAATGGCAGTTGAAGGAGTGATTTTGGTGCCAGTGGAGAAAAGCACACAACAGAGGTCCCTGTCCACCCACTTTATGTCCTTCAGTTTGTGCCCAATATTACGAGTGGGGGTGAGGTGGACGGGATTCGATGTCGACTTCGATGGTCCCACCTAAACAAAGAGGACACTTGGTCACTGAATTTCGCTAAGATCCCAAGAGCGTGCAAATGGCGAGAAGAATGTAAGAGGCAAGTAGCAGGTAGAGGGCTAAGACGGCCTACCCAATGCTTCATGAAGCCAAATCTTAAAAGCACTGCTAGATGAGACTTGACACATGCGACTTCAGTTCACGAAACAGTTCGCAAGACGAGTCTGTTCTGATCAATGATGAGAGATCAGCGAGTGATCAAGAGGTCAAATAAGCACTGCATCGAGGTGGAGTTTGGGGGTCGCTGAAGCGTGGCTACGAATGCCGCGATTTTCGAGGCAACTGTGATTGGTGTTGTGTTGGACTACCCCACAGCACTATGCGTAAACAAGTGCCGGTGTATGTCATGTAGCGGGTAGAGGCGTAAATTGGTAGAAGTAGGAGGAGGAGGAGGAGGAGTTTATTGATGCACCTTTGAGCGACCTCGTGTGACCTTCTTTGGTAGCAATGATCTGAAGTAGCACCACCTCATCGACGTGCTATCGAACTGTGGCAAATTGTGCAATGAAATCGTCATCAGCATGGGGAGAGGATGGTGAACCGAGAATCGCGGTCTCACAAATAAAACGGTTCGGACACCCGATAAAATACACTCTCCTCCTATTCAATCTTCTTGCTTTCGCCTCATCATCCATTGGCAATCACTGTCAAGCACCTTGTAGCAGATCAACTGCCTTTCGCTTTCGTGTCTTCAAGACGTCAGTGGTTGACCGTGTAAATGCTGTGCTGACAAGAGCACGGTAGAGCACAATGCCTCCGACCCACATCCTAGATGCTGCCTGTGGGAATGTCGTCGTCGAGACGGGAAGCAGACAGACCTACGTAGTGAAGCCTGCGATGGGATACTGTTATAAACGTTGATGTTTTAGACAGGAGTGCGTGAGGTAATTTAAGCCTGGTCAACTTACCAAGTGGGAGAGACACGACAGGACTTTTAGATGCAACTTGGGTAGGGCTGTGTTGGCGGTCTGCTAGACGACGACCACGATTTGCGTCGGTGTCACTGCAAAGTTGATGAAGGACCTTAAGTTGTTGCAGTGTCAACATAATGTGCTAACAATACAGCATGCGTTGAGAACGTGCGACAATGATTCAATGGCATTTGCCTTGGTTTCTTTGTACAGTTTTCATTTCAGCAGAAGCGGTTGTGATGGCACATTGTCAGGCCGAATTGACGGTTGCCATGTAGGTTGTGTCAAGTTATGGACCTTCAGGGTTCACAGTTGTAATCTGTTGGAAATTGTATCGGTAAGTTGAAGCAAATCGGTGATGCGTACTTGTTCTTTGAACTTATCTCCTAAAGGGGAGAGGAGAACCTGACCAAGACCCGCACTAACAGGGCTTTGCCGCCTTCTCCCCTTCCAACATCCCACCACCACGAATTTGCTACTTTCATTGATCGACTGCCAGTTAAGTTTTCGGTCACTGTGGATTGACTCCGAGGGATGCCAGAAGTCCCGACTACAAACTCTTTTGCTGAACATGGACACTCAGTTGACGCTCTGCATCTACTCTAGTCCACAACGTAGTCCCACCATACTACAGTTCCTATTGCATTGTGGACTGCGCAATTTCATCACCCTCCTTGTGCATTACTGTCATTGGCAGAGCTAACTACTACAAGTATAAAGTGTCTCGAGCAGGATTGCCGCACAACTCGCACCTATAAACAAATAAGACACAAAACCTACATAGCTAAGTTGTGCCCTTAAGTACCATGGAGAAGTCTCGTTCAAATTGGGCAATAGCAGGCAGCATGACGAAAGGAAGGCCAGACATGCAATATTGGCACACTCCTGTTTCGCCTTGACCACTTCCACCGACTGGCCTGTGACCGCATTGTTGGCTGCGCGTCATACCCTTCCTTGTCCAACACATAAGAACTTCACTTATCTCATGTCAAGTATCGAACAATGCAAACATGGTGTTGGTATGTTACACTCTGCATTGCATGGAGCTTAAAGTGGACACCTGTGACAACGCTGGTTATGCACAAAACTAACACTCCCCATGCAAAATTCGTCTTCCCGCATTGCGCGCCCTAAAGCAATGCGTCGTATCTGCTTTTGCGTGCATTTGTGCAGCTGACAGAAGGCACGAAACGAGCTTTGGCTGAGTCGGCAGTAGAGGCAGTATGGACGGCTTCATCGATAAAAGTACTCACGCTACTCAGACTATGTTTGTTACTTTAGAACGCCCATTAACTTGACTTGCCTACAGTTGGCGGCGACTCGAGTACTGTACGAGTCATTTGGTCTATAGTTAGAAGTGAACTGGCACACCACAGTCAGGCTTGCACAAACCCCACTGTGTAGTGTGTAGCGAGCTAAAATGACGTCTGCGAATCCCAATTTCTTCCCACCTCTCATCCGAAAAGCCAGGTATCAAGAAGTTGTGCTGACCTTGCCTTCAAATCTCCATTTGTGGGCAGGTGGATAAGGCGGCTTTTCCCACTTCGGTTCTGCATTTTGTGTCCCTGTCTTGCCACCTCACAATTGAGATACTTAACGTGACAGCAGTCACTTTGCAAGGCTTCACTGGAGCCACTGAACATGCACCATTGAAAGCAGGAGCGTGTCACAGAGGTACGGTTGTGCAAGTCCATCGTCGTGTTTCCACTCGCGAAGGTCTTCAAACCCACTCACTTTGCGAGGAAGAGAGAATGAGGTGTATGCTAACCCTCAAATGCATGTAGCCCTTCAACCTGCCTAGCTGGTTCACTATTAGTGCTTGGATGAAATGCGCACTGCCTAGAAACGCAGCCTGCCTTACTGTGTTGTGATCGATAAGCCATCATCGTGCAGACAAATACCGAAGTCGTAAGCAGGAGGTGAGAGAAGGTAGCTACTCCATCGCTAGCCGTCGGACAGTGGCAGTTGGTGAACGGTAAGGAAATGTGCGGCACTATGGGGTTGGTGGAAGGAGGGTCAGATTTGTTACCCTCCCTCGCTAATCCATGCTCCGCCTCTGAATGTGTGCTCAAACGAAGAGTTGTATAAACTCCCATCACACTTCTACGCCCATTCCACTGGCTCTTCAGACAGCACACTCAAAATGGTGGGTCAAAT